TCATACAAGCCTATTTACTAGCAGTTATATATATATATATATATATATATATATATATATATATATATATATATATATATATATATATATATATATATATATATATATATATATATATATATATATATATATATATATATATATATATATATATATATATATATATATATATATATATATAGCCAGAAGATAAAGCGAGAATGTAAATCTACGCTATTACAGGGTTTTGGGAGAGTTACGTAATTAGAAAAATACGGGGATGTAAATCTAAACTATTACATTAAATTGTGCGACTTATACAATTGTCTAAGAAAATAAATAGCAAAAAAAATAAGAAAATGTTGGAGAAAAAAAAGGTTTAAATGCCCTAAAAATTTAAGTTCATATTTTTGGTGTTTTTTATGAAAATAATTTAAGTGTTAATTAATAATAATTAAAATCCTAATTTTAATTTATTTTAAGTAATAAAAAGTCTAAAATCTAATTGTCCAAAAAAATTAATTAATTTACACCCAATAACTATTTTTTTGTTGATTTTATTATATGGTTTCTTTCTGATTTTTTTATGTATGCGTTTTGATTAAAAAAAGTTAATTAATAATAAAATAACTAATGAAAAGAAAGGGAAAATGAAGAAAGTAAAACCAAAAAGGTTTTGGCATCGCTGGGGTTCGAACCCCCTCCCTTCTCTTCACACACTTGGTTCCAACCTATTCTATGTTTCTTGTTTAACACATCTTGACATATGAAATTTATTAATAACACAAGGATTAAGAAATTTGAAATTAGAAAATCCTTACCACTGGTGTGATTAAAGCGAGGAGTTCTCGGCACGGTTGAGCATGGTTATGGACTTGAGGAGATTCCTGGGGATGTCAGGATGATTATTCGAGGCTTCATTTCAGTTGAGAATGGCTGGAAAACTGGGATACAATTTGCACCTATTCTTTGAAAATTTTGTGTTTGAGAACTTGTTTCTATGGAACCCAATCCGTGTAATTGTCTTATGGAGTGTGTCCTCTATTTATAATGGATGATTTTTTAAGTTAACATTCTTGGAAGGAAACATGTACAATCAAAGTCATTGTTTATTTCTAAAACAATTGCAAAACTTTCCAAAACATGAAGATCTCTTTCCTTCTTCATCCCTCACAATTTTTCTATGTTGGATATGTGATCTTGGGCTTCAAAATGATCCAAAACAAAAGTCCACATGCCTTGTACATTTCTTTAATATTTATTTTATTTAATTTTGAATTTAAATGAATAAAATTGAAATAAATGAAATAAAAATTAAAATAATGCATGAATGGACTGAGGGGTCCCTAAACATGTCATAAACACATTTGAACTTTAAAAGTTAGGCTCATTAGCCTAAAAGTCCAAAATTGCTCAATTCTAGTTTCATGCATTTTCTAAAAATTGCTCAACTTGCACTAATCATAACTCTCTCAAATTTTGTTATATGAAGGTGATCTTGGATTTTTTGGAAAGCTCAAGATGTCCCCTGAAACTCTCATGTTTGTCATGTTTTAATTTGAATTATTTAAGTTGATGTAAATGTCTTTGACAAAAGATGTCTTTTTGTTGACTTTTAAAATGACCTGTAATGTTTTGGCCTATATCTCTCAAATGAAGCATTTTTGGACTTGAGCTTAGAGAGGCCAAGTTGTAGAGAATTGAATTTCCTTCAATATAGGCTTTGATTGAGGATTTTCTTATGAAACATGTGAAAGTTATGCTTGGTCAAAGTTTATTTGACTTCTCTGTAAGAAAATTCTAATTTGGTAACTTTTGTCTTTTGATGAATCTTGAGTTTTCTTGATGAATCATGATCAAATATTGATCAAATGATGAACGTGACTTCAAAATATTGATGTTGATCAAAAATCTTGAAGTTTGACCATAAGTTGACCAATATTGACTTTTTATCCAATACAATTGATTTTAATCATATGAGCAATTGTCTGAACAAATTTGTGATGTAAGGCTTGAAACTTGACATGAGGATTCCTTGAAGAATATGAGGAACCATGAATCTACTTGAGGCCTTAGAAGCTTAATTTTCCTTAAGAAAAACAAAACCCTAGTTGTAGGTCAATTGCTTAGGAGGAGAGTCTATCTGATCAATCCTTGATAAGTTTTGAGTGTTTGAGACCTTCGCGAGTATGAGGAGACCTATTGAAATAATTGTCTTGAAAATGGGAGGGAAAATTTTAGGGTACAACATCTTCCCCTGTTCAATCTTCTTAAACCTGAAGAGTTAGATTGTCATGCTCGTCATTCATGGTCTGAATGGTGTTCTAGAATTAGTCTATGTCTTGACTGTATCTGAAGAATATATTGGAATGAGTATCAAAATGAAATCCATCTTGATTGTATATGAACCGTATCTAGAATAGTATCTGGAATGAGTGTCAGAATGAAATTCGTATCTAGATCATATCTGACTCGTAACTAGAAGATGTAGCGGAATGAGTATCAAAATGACATCCATATCTAGATCGTATATGACCTGTATCTAGAAGACGTACTGGAATGAGTATCAGAATGACATCCATAACTAGATCTATCTGACCCGTATCTAGAAGATCTACTGGAATGAGTATCAGAATGAATTTGTATCTTGATTGTATCTGAAATGTATCTAGAAGATATACTGGAATGAGTATCGGAATGAATCTGTATCTTGATCGTATCTGAACTATATCTGGAAGAGAATATAGAATGAGTGTCAGAATGACATCCATATTTGGATCGTATCTGACCCGTATCTAGAAGATGTATTGGAATGAGTATCAGAATGACATCCATATTTGGATCGTATTTGACCCGTATCTAGAAGATGTACTAGAATGAGTATCAGAATGACATCCATATATGGATAGTATCTGACCCGTATCTAGAAGAAATACTAGAATGAGTATCAGAATGAATCTATATCTTGATCGTATCTGAACTGTATCTGGAAGAGAATCTGGAATGAGTGTCAGAATGAACCTATATCTAGATCGTATTTGAACTGTATCTAGAAGATGATTTGGAATGAGTTTCAGAATAAATCTATATCTAGACCATATCTGAAATGTATCTGGAATAGAATCTTCGATTGATTGTATTTGAAAAATGTGTTTATCATAATTAATCACTATCTGATTGCATCTGAAGGATGATAAACTGTTGACAATCTCGATTTGTTCGGGAACTAACTTGAAAAGACAAAGTTAGTTTTATGCAATGGCATGATGTATGTAATGCATTGTGTAATGATGCTCTCAAAATAAATGAGAATTTTATATACGTTTCGTATGCATATGTTATGATATTTTGTAAATGATGTATGGATGTAATATGTTGTTGAAGCATATGGTAGCTTCTTGTAACAACGTCTAGCTGGGGGAAATAAATCCCGGATTGTTGTTGGGGATGAAGAAAGTAATTCTTCAATTTTGTTTAGAATGACCTTACTAGGGATTTCCGTTTTCTGTTTGAGGATACTCCATTGGGGATCTCCGACCTCTGCTTGAGGATAGAGGCACTCAAGGAGAGTCTGTCGTTCGCCATTATTTATGTTGAAGGATTTGATTCTTACGTACCCTAACTGGGGATAAAAGAGATGGATATTCCTTCAGTATGCTAATTGTCCAGACAGATACCATATCAACTCTTCTAGGGATAACAACTTTGATTAAACCCTGCTGGAAAAGCGAATTTTGTTAGGTTTACGGCGTTGGAGTAATAAACTCCAATGGGAAATTAAATTCCTGTAAGTTGTGTCGAGGAAACAAACTCTGATGGGAATTAGGATTTTATAGGCTGCGCTGAGAAAGTCTCCACTGTATGCTGGGGAAATGATCAAACTTCCTTATCCGCTAAGGGACCTATCGGGGATGGTGATCAGGTCAAGTTATCCATTAGGGATATGGAGGAGAACTGCTGGAAGATGTCCCAATTTCTGCTTAAGGACATATTAGACTTGCTGAGGAATATATCTCTGTCGGGGATGAGCTTGTGAAGGTAGCTCTATAGAGATAGTTCCATGGAGATTGCTCTGTGGGAATTTGTGGATAACTTTGAACATCATCTTCTTCTATCTTGAATGTTCAAAAGGATAGCGCCAATCTCACTTTCAGGTTTAAGATAATTAAATAGGGGCAACTGTTGCACTCCAAAATTTGCCCTTCTATCTTTTCTTTTATCTGGCTTAGGCTTTACATTCATCTACATACACTTCTATTAGGTCATTGACATTAAATAGTCATTCACTTATCGAATTTGCATAGTTAGTTGTATTTAGGTTGACCGAAAGTCAATTTAAACCAACATTCACATTGTTCTATAGTTAAAAAATACTTGTTATCTCACTTCATGCATTTTTATCTCTTTATCCGCTTCTCGCATTGCATTAAGTTGTTTATATGTCAATAATATTGATATTTCGAATCTACAGACATATTGTTAAAAATGTTTCGACGCTGTGCAAAAAATTAGCAGAAAAATATTTCGAGTTTTCACTTTTTTCTGACTGTTTTATGAATCTAGGTTTCGCGTTGATCATGACGGTGTGCTCGCTTTAATTTTTCGGTACAATTTGCAGTCTCTTTTTTAATTGTCAGTTTTTGTTCAGCCTAATATTTTATTCTCATTTTATTTCAATTTTGAGCATTTAGTTTTTTTATTAATTTTTGTGACCTATATTTATTTCCTTTTTTCGGTTAATTTAATGTCCGTATTTTTATCATTTTTGATAGTTTTAAGTGTGCTTTTTTATTACGAAAAATAAAAAATAAAAATAGTTTTAAATAGTTTTATTTTTGATCTTATTGATTTTTTGGTCATTTTTGTCAAAAGGGTAGTTTTGGTATTGATTAAAATTAGCTAAAACCTAGTTGATTTTTGTGTATAAAGGGAATGGAGATGGTAGCAGGAGGGGCATATTGAAATGTAAAAAAACCAGAAGAATAAAGATTGCAGAAGGGTACTCCATCGTTCTCCTTCAAATGATCACCCCTCCGTCTTCTTTCGACACCCCTCCGTCTTCGAAGCTCCTTCCAGTCTCCCTCCTTCTGCCCACGAATCACCTTTCCGCGTTGCTACTGTCTGCACCACCATCTTCCATTTCTCATCATTTTTTTTGTAAGAATCCTTACCATTTTTTGTTTTATATTTTTTTTTTGTTTTTATATTTAGTAATTGATGATATTTGTTATATGATGAAATTGTTGATTATATTTTTAGCAATATTGCAGTTGGAATTTACTTTGGTATTGTTAAAAGTAGAAGATGATGAATTGTGATTGGTGATTGAATATTTGAAATTAATTGATAACTATTTGTTGGTTAATTTTGAAATTGGTAATGATATGATGATGATATTGTTGTGAATTGATGATAGTGATCTTGTTGAGTTTTAATCTAATTGTTATTGAAGGTTGGTGATTTAAATGGTTGGAATTATTAAGATAATTGTTGGAGATTAATATTGACATTATGGTTAGAATTAATTGACTTTGTTGATGGATAATTGTTGATGATGAGGATAATATAAGTTCTTATTAGTGTTGGTGTTATTGTTTGAATTAATGATTGACACTAATGAATTAATGTTGAAGGGTTGAGTTTTCTAGTTGGTGTCAAGTTGAAATTGTGATGATTTTATTGTGGTTTATGTTAAGATAAATGTTGAAGTATTGATAATATTGTGAACTAATATTTGTGATGATGTTATCGTTTGGTTAAATCTTGAGTCAATTGTTGGGATGTTGATACCATGTTTATTTGAGCTAAATATGAAGGAGGTGTTGATGACATTTTGATTTACTTTGAGTTAATATTGAATGATTTAAAGTTGGTGTTGATATTGATTGTTTCTCATTTTGTTTTAAAACATGTTTGAGTTTGAAATTGTGATGGCATTATGTTATTTTGTGTTTGGTTTTGAATGAGGAATTCAGTTATGGAGTCTTGTTGTGGTTAGTTATTTGTTTTGCTTACTTTTGAAGTTAATTTGTATATACCATGAGTTTAGTTCCATATGACTTTGGTTTAGATTTTTAGAATGAGCATTGGTGCTCCTAATGTGGTTTAAAGTGTGTTGTGAAACATGAAACTCACATGAACTCTTGGTTGCTAATTGTTTTATTATTTCCTTGTTAATTCACAAGTTGATGTCAATTGTGATTTGATTCATGTTCTTGTTTGGTTATGCATGTATGGTGATTTCTAATTGTGAATTTTCGTTACTAATACATGTAATTTGTTGCAAGTTCATTTGTCTCTTTTAATCCCTCTTGTGTTACTAACAAGTTTGTTATTGTGAAGGCTTCCAAGGATAGTTCAAGCATTCATGTCTTGTTAGCGTCTCTTTATTGTTTTTTAATTAACTAATTAAAGTTTGATTTAATTAGTTAATTTTGTTACTAAGTTAATTAGTTTTTCTAATTAATTTTTCTTAACCTAATTAATTAATTTGATCAACTCTTAATTAATTAATTATGCCTTTACTTCATATTACATTTATCGTGGTTTTATCTGGTTGCGCTATTTTTCATATGATGCAGAAATTCTTATCTGATACTTCGGATTTATCTAACGCACTTTCTACTTGCAATTTATTCTCACCTGATGTTGATCATTGACACAATATTTGTACATTTGGATACTAATTCAGTTGCTTGTTAGTGAAGCTTCCGCAAGGATTCTCGGGTTTTTGTGCGCGTTGAAAAGGTGACGAACCTTCTCCAGTTGGTATCGCTTGAGATCTCTTTACTATCACATTCTTGCATCATTTTCAATTAATCTTGCCATGAGAAGTAGGATAGAGATGCATGACTGAAGACCTACCCCTGTAGACATTGTGAAACCATGTTTGTGGCATAGCGTAGTTGTTTAAAGTCCTACCTCGAAGTAGACAATTTCTGTTTGATTTAAGTCCTACCTCGAAGTAGGTAATTTCCTATTGTTTAAAAACCTGCCTTAAAGTAGGAAATTTCTATTTGATTTAAAGTTCTACCTCGAAGTAGGCAATTTCTGATTGTTTAAAGACCTATCCTGAAGTAGGAAATTACTGTTTGATTTAAAGTCCTACCTCGAAGTAGGCAATTTTTCTTGATATGCGCTTATGATATGGTTGTGATGATACAGGTGGTTGATGATTATTTATTTGTTGACCTAATTCATGATCGATCTCCTTGAGACACTTCTTTTTACTTTATGTCATGTTCCCATAGGATTTCTCGGTTCAATCTTAGTTAAGATTTGAATTCAGATAGAACTTAGGATTCATATCCATGCATGCTAACATTATGTAGTCTTCCCTTTCATCCTAACTTTAGGACCATTTTACATGACAATATTCAGACTTTAGTCTCCCTTAGACTTTTTCATTCCCCTTTTGTATCATTAAAACTATAAATTCTTTTTCTCCTCAAATGTCAAAAGACTTAACAATAATGATGCAAACCATGTGTCACGAGCCTTAAGAAGTGGAGAAGGATGAGTGGGTCCATTCTCGAAGCTTGCCATTCATTTCATTCATAGTCTTTTATGTGGTTCAAATCACCAAATCCTTTTTTCAAGGTAAAAAATACAAACCAATTCAAACCTTTTTTCTTTCGGGCTGCCTTCAGGATGCCTTCAGGCTTTTCTTTGAAAATCTTTTCATAACAAAGGATGTTTTATTTCCACTTTGTGTAATATTTTACGCAAGTCCCAAAAGGTTTGGTTTCAATATGTCAACTGCTAGAATGCATATGTAACATCATCTTCCTAAAAAACACAAAAAACAAACCAAAACACCTTTTCAGGTGAACTACGAGTGTCCTGATCTCTCATTGTACGAAGAGGGTACATAGGTACAAAGGTTCATAATCGCGGCGGGCACAACTAATAAAAACCTTTCTTTTGTATATACTTTTCATTCATGCATTTCCATTAGCTTGTTAGATTTAGATTTAAACACACCCTTTGATTAGAACAACAAGAGTGGATCCCATAAAGTACCACGAATGTGAGGGGTGCTAACACCTTCCCTTTGCATAATAGACTTCCGTACCCATTCTCTTGGTTGCGAGACCTTGATTTTTCCCTTCTCAGGTTTTCTTCGATGTTTTCCTTTTCCTTCTGTGAGATAAATAAATATTCGATGTCGACTTCATTGATTATTTTTCCTAGTTGCTTCAACATGCCTACATTCTCCCTCAGGCATGCTTTGAGTTGCTTCTTCACCAAGTCGGGGAGTCATGTTCCAATCTTCACGTATTTGTTTGAATCATTGCCGAGGAGGACGACTTCAAATCATCCATCTAGAATGGGGAGAACATGATGGAGAGGCTCCATGTTGGCTGCGGTTCGGCCAACTCCTTCCTCCTTATTCTCCTTCCTTAGCTTATCTCTGGTGAAACGGATGTTGAGGTTCACTGAACTAACGTGGGATGATGACTTCTACTTGGCAGGTGTTGTTGTCTGGGCTGGCTTACTGTTGACATGTTGCGCTTGCTTGTTGGCTGTCTTGGGAGTTGTATCAATCAAATTCTCTCTTTTTGCAGTTGCATTGAAGCATCTTTTGGGAAGCTTCGATATCTCTGTGCATGGTGACGGCTCAACCTCTCTCGGTGTAGTACTTCATCTTCAAATGGACCATGGAAGGCACGGTGGTCAGCTCAGCCATAGTTGGCATTCCCAAGATGCTGTTGTAGAGAGATAAACATTCGATGACCAGGAAGTGGAATGCGACTTGTCTGGCTATTGCCTCTTCCCCGAAGGTGACCATCAGCTTGATGTAACCCCAATGTTTGGGGTTGGTGCCATTAAAACCCTGTAGGCCAGAGCCCACGTATGGTGTCAAGTGGGTGTGGTCGAGATGAAGATTTGTGAATAGGTGTGCATACATAATGTCAGTGGAGCTGCCTTCGTCGACCAGGATGCGACAGACGTCGAAGTTCACCATTTTTGCTCTTTCCAAGAGAGGGATGCTAGTGTTTTGTGCTGAGCCGGGAATTTCTTCAAGATAAAAGGTGATGGGTTCATACTTTCCCCATAACCTCTCGAGAGTAGTGTTCTTGGTTGAGCTCGCGTCGATCAGCTCCTCGAACTTTCCTTTGGGTGTACTGTCTCAGACGAACTTCTTTAATGAGGGTTTCAATTGCTTCTTTGAGGTGGACACGATCCTTAGTGACATGGTCGTGGCTCCGATGGAAACAACGGTAATTTGTCTTGTCGACATTTGCCTTAGAGGGTGTCAACCTGGGAAAGAGAACACCATATTTCTTTAATTCAGAGTTGATACACTAGGTGAGGATGCGCTCGCAGGGAGCGGTCAGCAGAGTGTATTCGTTAAAGCGGCCCGTTGGGCCTCTTTGCTCGCGATAGTTGTGGGGCCTCTCTTATGTTTGCTTGTCCCTGCCTCATCAAGGATGCACAATGTCTTCATACTTCGGGGCCCTGGTCCCCTCACGGTTCCTGGAGTCGCGAGCGCTGTTGGCGGCCTCTTTCTCCTCGTAAGTGATGTAGGACTAGGCCTTACAGAGAAGTTCAGATAATGATTTGGGAGTCTCGATGCTGACTGCTTTTCTGAAATCGCCAGGTTGTAACCCTTTATTGAGGAATTACCTCTTCATGCGGTCATCCGTGGGTGTAACACCCCGATTTTTAGAATTATTTATTTAAATGAGTTATTAGAAATATTCGTGAATTATTGATGAATATGTGATATTTTGTTGAGTCTGATGTGTGCTCTGATGTTATGTTGTGGGATAATGGGAATTTAGATGACTAAGAATTATTTTAGTAATTTAGATAATTATCTAACAATTATTTAGAATTAGTTAGAATCATTATTATTATTATTAAAATAAAGGAGTAATTGGTGTAGAAGGAATAAGGATAAAGTTGTAATTGGTAAAAGGATTAGTGAGGACAAGTTAGGAAAAGTATATTAGGGGTCCAAAGGTTAAACATGGAATAAAGGGAAAAATATTTCATTTGGTATGATCGTGAAAGAATTAGGAGAAGCATAGAAAAAAATCTAGTGCACGAAGAACATAGAGAAAATTCAGTCGAGCGCTTGGGAAAGATCATTCACCAGGAATCTAAGGTAAGGGGGTGGTATGTCATTAGAATTGATATGGAGTTTAGAGGTATCTAGAGATTTGTTGGCGTTTATGATGATTTTGATGATAGGTTGCATTGTGATGAATTTATGTTGAAATTGAAGAAAATACCATGTTGATTTGCCATGGTTTGATACATAAGACGACTATAATGTTGTGTTGTTGTTGCATAATAAAAACATGTTGATTTGTGATGATTCTAGACTGTCATGGGTATGAAATTGCAAGAAGAATTTAGGATGAACAAGTGCAGAATCACAATAGAGAGTTGTTTTTTGCTACACATCGTCAGGCGAAGGAAAGCGTCATCGGGCGAGGCAACATTGCCTGGTCTTCACCGGGCAAAGAAATGGTGTGGAAAAGTGGTGCTCCTAGAAAAAATGTATGGGAGGAAGAGCTTCGCTCCAGCCTCGTCGAGCGAGAAAGAGGCGAGATCCCGTCACCTCAGCATCGTTGTGCGAGCATAAGGCGGAAGCACTCATTCTCCGAGCAAAGCAGTAGCGAGCAAGTCTGCTTGCGGAAATTTGTAAATGCCATAACTTTAGTTTTAGAACCCCATTTGATGCGCCATTTGAAGCGCTGGATAGATAACGCGATGAACTACATGTAGGTAGAATAAAATGAGTAAAAAGATGTATATTTCCAATACCTAGGCTAAGATAGACTTAGATTCTTAAGAGGAAGGCTATAATGATGCATGTTGATATGATGAATTGTTGATACTATAATGTGTTGGTTGCTATGATGAATGGTAAATACTATAATGGTAATATGTTATGACTATGTAGTGTTGAATGAGGTTGATGTTATCATGTTTGTTGTATATACATGCCATGTGAATATTATCGATGATTCAGTGAATGGTGATGCACTTGACTAGTTATGGTCACAAATATTATGTTGATTATGCATCATGCATTCATAGCATTGTTAGGAAGAGAGTCCAGGGTTGATTTAGGACGTAAGTGCAGTGCTTTTAAGGATGTTAGTCCAGTGTTGGCCTCAATCCCATTGTGTGGATCGAGTGCGTTTGATGTTGTGCTCCGTTTCCAAGAGGAAATTGATCCTATGCTGGGGATATTTGGAGGGTGATGCACGAGTCTATCTTATTGCACTACATATTATGTGGAATTGCATCATTGTTGACTAGATGACATTGTGTATGTTATTGTGCTAATTGATGAAGTGTTGACAATGTTGTTGATTTTGATGTCATGATGTTGTTGTTTGAACTACTATGTCTATTATGTATATCTTTTGTAATGAATGTGATTACTCACCCTTTCTGTTTGAATGTTGCCTTCACGTGGGTAACGCGCAGGTGATCGGGAGTAGTTCATAGAAATTTAGAAGATAGTTTCGGCGTGTGTTGTTTCTTTCTATTGATTTTAGAAGGTCTTGCTCTGATATGTAACATTGGGATCGGGAACGCTTGATCTGAACTTTATGTTATTTTGTTTATTTTGAGATTTTGAACTATCTTTCATGGTATTTAAGTTGTTTTGAATTATGAATCATGAACAACTAAGTTTCTATGATGTATTTAATAAAGACGTTTTTGAACTATGAATTCCACTGCGAGTAGTTGAAGTGTTATTGTTGTTATTAATGAGGTATTTGACATATAAATGTTGAAAAGCCCGAGTTACGAAGTAAGATAAGCATGTATGATGTTTTATGAAGCATGTGACACCCTTTGGGGCAATACTCTGATTATTTAATTATAATATTTGTGGGGTTTTAGAAGGGTGCTACAGTGAGAACTTGGATGGCCTCTCGATTGAACTGCTCAATGTATGGTTGGAGGGGTTCATCGTTCCCTTGAATAATAGCCTCGAGTGTCGCTTCAGTCTTTGAGTGCCGTCGGGAAGCAGTGAAGTGCCTGGTAAACTAGGTCTTCATATCCCTCTAGGAGGTTATCGACTCTGGTGTGAGGCTCTTGTACCACGTCATGATACTTTTCCTCATTGTCGTACAAAACTGCCTGCACTTGATGGCACCTTTGACGACACGGTAGTTAAGCATCGCATTGAAGCTCTTGATGTGATCTTCGGGGTCTGTCACA